ATTTCGAAATAAATTCAAATGATGTCGAGAATAGAAAGAATGAAGCCACGAGATGCTGCTGGGCTACTGCAAATGCGGAATGCTTGAAATTATCTATCAGAAGTCCGAAGGCTGCAGCAGTAAAAGATGTGCTGTGGACAGCCTGAAGTCAAATGTGATTTGAAATTAATGAGCCTTGAATTGTTGAGCCAAGTGAGACCGCCAAACTAATCCTGCTGTTGTTCTTGGCGGTTTGTAAATGGTGAATCTGAAATGATTGTGTCATGCCATCGATTTCGATTAACACAAAGAGAGTGAGAACAAACTCGAAATGGGTGCTACTAAATGTAGAAGTGTTTTATGGGAATTGTGAAGAGATTTGTAAAACGTCAGACTTTGAGAGAAATTGGAGCTCTTAAATTGTGGGCTGAGTATAGAATAGAACTAAAATGAAGTTGTCCGTGTACAATCACAAAATTAGTACTAGTTAGGGACAAAATTACTGACAATTTTTGATTCCTTTCAATTCCGATTTAGTTATATTTTCGTCGATTAGCAAATGAAATTGACAACAAGCCCCAACAGTCCCCTTAGTCATACCCTCAGTCGTATAGTTACAGAGAGTACATATCATTTGACACGGCCAACATTTTCCTCATCGAATTTACGGTTTTAGACCCTAGGTCTCTTTGGAGCAAATCTGTTTCAGGACAATTGGAGTCGATCTAGGGGTGTCTATATGCCTGTCTGTCTGGTTGGCTAGGAATATCCGATCTGGTCCAATCTTGGTACATCACAATATTATTGTAAAAATTAAATCGAGATTGGAGATGGCAAAATCGATCAACTCCTTCTGGTACCTCCGTCACAAAAAGTCCACATTTTCAAAGAAAAAAATTTACCTTATAGAAATACCAATATTTTGCGTACAAATACAGGGAGGGATAAAGAAACTGCAACAAAGTCAAACGCCATAATTTTTGATTTTTTTTAATTTTATTGAAGTGAAGCAAAAAATATCGGAAATAGCTTCAAATTTTAGACTAACTTTATATTTGTTTGAATTGGTCACCTTTGGCACGAATTATGGCCTTCAAACGGCCGCTGAAACCGTCACACGCTGCCCGAATGTTGCTCTGTGGTATTTTGGCCCATTCCCGGCGAAGCGCTTGTTTTCCAAAATACTTCAGACACAATAGTCCAATGGATTGGTATCCGGAATTTTGGTGGCCATTGTGCGCTGGAAATGAAGCGAGGAACCTCATTTTGTAACCATTCTTGGGTAGCGGGTGCTGAGTGCGATGGTTCTGAGACCTGTTGGAATGTCCAAGGTCTGCGACCACAATGTTTGCATGCCCAACGCTTTAATACGCCCTCCAGAATACTCTCGCCATAATATTCGGCATTTATTCTGATGCCACGACGATTTATGCGAGGGGAGAGCGACCATCAGCTGTTATGGCAGCCCACACCATCACCAGGGCCTGCGCTTGAGTTCTGGTGGCCAACCGAAGGTGCACATTTTCAGCTGACCTCTTTGGCAAGTAAGCACGATCATTTTGTTTGTCTGAGAAAACCAAATTTGGCAGTTCAACACTTCCTGCCAAGCGAAGCAACTTTTTAGAGTCTACTTTTTCCGCTGCGGTGTAAGTTCTTGCACTTTTTGGAAATTCAATGGCTTTACCCCGAGTTCATTTTTCAATATTTGCTGTATGAAATATTGCGATATGTTCAGCTCACGATCCATTTTTCGGCCACTGCGACTCGGGTTTCGATCAAATAGTTTCTTTACTTTTCCAACCATTTCTGCTGATGATGCTGTGTTCTTCCGTCTACTTTCTTGACATTGGACTGCGCTACCAGTATCACGCTAACGAGTGATGGTACGAGACACAAAATATTTATTCACATTTAAATGATGAAGTGCTCTAACGATAGTCACTAGTGGTTTTCCAGCTAAATATAAAGAAATCACACTATCACGCTTGAATTTCATCACGAATTACTTTTTTTCTGTACAATTCTCACCAAAATGCTTTTGTACGTAGTAAACAATATAATGAGCTGTAATAACAGCAGTCTGAAGTGGGTTTCAGTGTTTTTCATCTCACCCTGTATATCTTAAATGATTTTAACCAAATTTGAGGTACTTATTTCTAGGATTAATTCAGTCGGAACTGCCAGGATTTAGTTCATTTGGTCTGATATTAGCTATTTGGTGCACAATACATATCATGTAGGACAAATATATTTGTTGGAGCTATATCCATATCTGACCCGATCTCGATAAAATTTGACAGAGGTATTTTTGGGCTGAATCTGGTAGTAAATATTATTCTTGTGGAGCGCATATTACGAATGTGAGGGACTTAAGTACCAAATCGGATGAAACATATGTATATGAGAGCTATAGCTATATCTTAATTATATTTTCTCCAAATTTGATGCACTTGCTTCTAGACAGAATTCGGTCGGATGTGCCAAAAGTCAGTTTTTTTGGACTCATATTGGGCACATGGTGCACAATTAACCCGAAATCGGTTGAAGATATATATGGAGCAATATCTAATTTGAAATAATTCTCACCAATTTCAATAGGGTTCGTCCTTGAGCCAGACAAATGTTGTTTGGAAAATTTTATCTCAATCGGATAATAAATGCAGCCTGCCTTTGGTTCACAAAAAAAATGGATAGACAGGCGGACGGACGGAGGGACTGACGTGCATGAATCGACTCAGAAGGAGATTCTATGAAGATCCTCAAGAGTAACTTTGGGTCTATCTCGCTTCCTTCTACATGTTACAAATAACTGTACAAACTTTACCACTATGTAGTGTAGTGTATCTAATCAAAACAAGTAAAAAAACAGCTTATTTCGGCAAGGATGAACATTAAATACCGTCCACCAATTGGGAATATTTTGGAAAATGGAAAAAATTCAGTTGAAAAATACTGTACCATGGACCTTTACAGTCAATTATCTGCCAGAGAAGGAGGTGCTTATTACGAACTCTAATTACCCAGGTTGAGATAATTCTGTTCAAAAATGTAACCAAAATCATAAAAAGTTAAAAAGCAGTAAGTTCGGCCGGGCCGAACTTTGAATACCCTCCACCATTTGAACGAATGTGGAAATTTTCAAAAAATACCGAATATAGACGTTATATAGGGGTCTATACGACGTGGACCTACATAGGCATTGTTGTCATAAGCCATTACCATATTCAAATTCGAAACTTGAAATAAACGTTGAATAATGTAGCTAAAATCATCAAAATACCGTACATAGGGAGGTATCGTTACATCGGAGCTATACGAATATCTGCACTTGCATAGACAACTTCCTGTTACAGCCTGTAGCACCCATTACGAAATTCAAATGTGACATCTCAAACAATTTCAGTGAGTATTGTACCTAAAATCGTCAAAATATCGAATATAGGGAGGAACTGATATATGGAGCCTATACGAAGACCTGGACCTGTAAAGACAACTTTCTATTATAGGCTGTAGTATCCATTACGAACTTCAAATACCAAATTTGAAACAATTGCGGTCAATAATGTCGCTAAAATCATCAAAATACCGAATATCCGGAGATACCGTTATATGGGGGCTATACGAAGACGTGGACCTGCACAGCCAATTTTCTGTCTAAGGCTGTAGTATCAGTGAATAATGTCGCTAAAATCATCAAAATACAGAATATCGGGAGGTACCGTTATGTGAGGGCTATATGAAAACGTGGACCTACATGACTCATTTACGAACTTTACCTGCCTACTGGCAAAATAAACATATCTGCAAAATTTTAGCCTTCTATCTTGATTCGTTCGAAAGGTAGCGTGATTTCAACAGACAGACTGACACCGCTAAATCGAAGAACATATACCCTTTGGTGGGTCTTACATGAGTATTTCGAGGAGTTACAAAATGAATGACAAAGTTAATATAAAATATAAAAAAGACCGAATATTGAGATTTACCCAAATATGAGGGCTATACGAAGGTCTGGATCCGTGAGGCAATTTTCTGTCATGGGATCCCATAATAGTTATTTGACGCCCAAAACATACAACAGTCCATCTATTACGGACTACATTGGCATTACCTAAATTCATATCAAAACCCACTTGCCCACCACTTGCTCTTTAAAGCCATTACCATGCGGCTCAAACAGTTCTTTGCTAGTGTATATCGACTATTAAAACCAAGGTCGTTGCCTTAACCAAATTTAAATATTTACTTCCAATTAAGCCGTTTAAACGGCAGCATCAAAAGTAAATTACCGCACTGTGCGTCTTCGTTATTCAGATATCAGTTCAATTATGAAGGCAAATTAGTTGGTTCGTTCCTTCATTAAAATTTATATTTGTACAATTATGCTTGATTAAGAAATTCTCCACAACGACTAGAGGTTTATGGGTGAATACTTTAAAATCATTCGACTTAAAGTAAATAACCCAAAGCCTTAGACATTGTCCTGTTAACCAGACAGACGGACGTCTTCGTCTAGTTTGTCGGTTAATTCCTTAGAAATTGTTTACCTCAAGTTCTTTGTTTGAACAAATTGCCGCTTAGTGTGTTGTAACAAAAATGTCTCTCTCACTCTCCTTCTTTCGTCCTAGGTAAATTGAGAATGTCCTTGGTATCAATTGATGCCGCATCTGTCACTGCCACTCTCCGTCTTCCTCCCACTCGATATTGGTTCTGTTACAAGTTCATGGCAAGGTTTTTCTCTCACCACTGCCGCTCTTGGTTTGATGGACCTGGGATGTGCAAATGAAAAGTAAACACTTGTGTGTTTGTGTGCGTGTGCCAGTGCCTGTTTGCATGGGTACTGTTAATAATACTCGCACTTGTCGCTTAACTTAATTACAACATTTTCCTCATGGTGTTGAATTGAAAATTCCCCTTAGTTCCTGTCACACACCCTCAACACACCACCCCACCGTGGCGCAAATACAGTCACCAAACAAAAAAAAAAATAAATAACCAAAAACAAATTACAAAATATTTACCTTAAACGTTTCAAGGCTGCGGGCGGCAGGTCCTCGTCGTCCTTTGACCAAAACACCAAATTGCTGAATTCGTTTTCCAACAGTGCGCTTTGGTCGTCCGTTGTGGTGGCTGTTGGCCGATTGTTGTTCTGATGGCTGATGTTGGTGTTGGGGAATTGCCCATTAATGGCAGATGCAAAGCCATTAATAGTGCCCAGGCTACCGGGACTGACACCCATGACGTTGCCATTGCTGGCTGACATTTTAGTTTGATTGGTGTTGCTACTCGTGTTGCTGTTGAGGAAATTGTTGCTACTTCCACTGGCAGTGGGACTAACACCACCACCACTGCTGCTGCTGCTGCTTCCGACACCACTGCTGGGACCGTTTAAAGGCTTTAGGGATTTTAAAATGTTTTGTTTTTCTTTATATAAAAAGCTACGGGATACTTGACACTGTAAATCTATGGTACTGCCTGTCTTATAATATCGATCACCAACATCTCGTTCCTGGTCGTCAATTAGACGCAAAGGAGGTTCTGTAATAAGAAAGAAAAAAGCGACAGAGTGAGTTAGATAGAGATAATGAAATTAGAAGAAGATGTAAATGAACAAATTGATTTGGTTTCAGCTTTTCTTATTCTGGAAGTATTGAAATCTTAAGTAACGAATGATGGCAGAATGTAAATCAGAGATAATTTAATAATCCAGCTATGGATTACAGAAATTTTGCATAGCTCACATAAATTTCGATAATTAGCAAGAGAGTAAATTATTCTAAAGGTAAAGATGAGAAAATAGGATTTGCGATACACAAGCATTTCATGTATAACCAATTTTGAAAAATAATAAAAGAGGTAGAGCTAAAAAATAAGGCACATATATCGGCATTTTCAAAGTTTTACATCGCAATGTAATCGAAAGGAAAGGGGCAATTTCCCCCACCTACTGCATTTTGTGAATTAAGATTTCTTGGAATCTGTTTATTTCAGTTATATAGTGTCTTCGGCAATATGGCAGATAAAAGTACGAGGAATATTTTTGTCGAAAATTCTAACCCTCAAGCGATCCAAAAAAGGAGCTTTTTGGTCCTTTTTTAAAATATGGTTTAAAAATCCATTTAAAGTTAAAAACTCCAAAGCAAGTCGAAATATTCCTCAAAATTATTTGTCATAAAATTCTACTATAGGTCTTAGAAAACGTTAAGGGTATAAACGTACCCCAATGTCAGGAATTCGCATATATTAAAAACACATTTAGAGTTAAAGGCTTATTTCATGTCAGTTTATGCAAAAATCTCCTACAAATCATCACCTTAGAATGATGGCGTTAAGGACAAAAAATATTCTTCGTATTTTTATCTGCTACATTGCCGAAGACACTGTATACCTAAACCAATTTTTATACCCTGCACCATACTATGGAGGGTATATTAATTTTGTTATTCCGTTTGTAACTCCTCGAAATACTCATGCCAGACCCAACAAAGTATATATATTCTTGATCAGCGTAAATTTCTAAGCCGATTTAGCCATGTCCGTCTGTCTTTCTTTAGAACGAATTAAGATAGAGAGCTAAAATTTTGCACACATGTTTATGTTGTCAGTAGGCAGGTTAAGTTCGTAAGTGGGCCATGTAGGTCCACGTTATCATATAGCCCCCATTATAACGGTACCTCCCAATATTCGGTATTTTGATGGTGTGCAGGTAGGTCTTCGTATAGGTCCCATATATCAGTACCTCCTTATATTCGGTATTTTTCGAGTTTAGGTACAATACCCACCGAAATTGTTTGAGATGTTGGATTTGAAGTTCGTAATGGATGCTACAGCCTATAACAGAAAATTGCCTATGCTGGTCCAGGTCTTCGCAGAGCTCCGATATAACGGTACCTCCCTATAGACGATATTTTAATGATTTTAGCTACATTATTCACCGTTTATTTTAAGTTTCGAATTTAAATATGGTAATTGCTTATAACAAACAATGCCTATGTAGGTCCACGTCGTATAGAAAATTGAAAATTTTCATCTTCGTTCCAAATGGTGGAGGGTATTAAAAGTTCGGTCCGGCCGAACTTACTGCGTTTTAACTTGTTAAAATTGTAACATAATTTTTTAAGCATTTTATTTTTTGAAAATTTTCAAATTCGTTCCAAATGGTTGGGGGTATTTTTTTAACTTGTTATTATTCTAAGTCGATTTAACAATGTCTGTCTGTCTGTCTCTCTGTTGAAATCAAGATACAGGCCACATTATTTGACGTAGCAGAATAATTTGTATTGTGTCTAGGATGGTTGGTATTGAAAATGAGATATATCGGTCCACGTTCTGATATAGTCCCCATATAACGGTACCTCCCGATATTCGGTATTTTGTGATTTTTGCCACACTTTTTCACGGATTTGTCTAAAAAATTGGTATTTGTAGGTCATAATCTGGTGGCGAAGCATTGGATGTATAGGTGCACGTTTTGGCATAGCTCCATTTAACGGTATCTCCCGATATTCGGTGTTGTGATGATTTTTGCCACATTTTTTCACGGATTTGTGGGTCATAATGGGACCTGGTTCGTGTGGCCAAGCATTGTATGTATAGGTCCACGCTTGGTATAGCACAATTTAACGGTATCTCCCGATATTCGGTATTTTGATGGTTTTGGTCACATTTTTTCATGGATTTGTCTAAAAATTGGAATTAGTTGGTCATAAGAGGTTCTAGCTCCGTTGGCGAGACATTGTATGCATAGGTCCACGTTTTTGTATATCCCTATATAGCGGTACCTCCCGATATTCGGTGTTTTTTTTATTTTCCCACGTATATATTTAAAAATTGGTATTTGTGGGTCATAATTGGTTCTAATGTTTTCTTTAAGCTAAGGTGGAGGGTATTAAATTCGGCCCGACCGAAATTAATTTTTTTTACTTTTTAGCTCTACTTTGTGCTCTTTTGTGTTGCACAGTGTTATCATAAAATTTGTTTATATCATATTTGGTACGTAAACGTAAGAACTCTAAATTGAAATGTCAGCTGATGTAACCAATTAACCAATTTATGGTTGAAGTGAACCCTAGAATGTAAATGTAAATTTTAAGAATATAGTTAAGGACAACACTGTAGCATTGGCCATTGCATTTTTTGTGAGAACTAAAAAATTAGTGCGATGAGAGACTATCATTAAATAAATATCTCAAGAATGATAATGTACTTCTAATGATAATCGGAAATTGGAATCTACCGATAAAAAAGCTTATCTCACCACTTGACACAAAAATGAATCTGTTGAGCCAGTTTTAACCCTTATCTGTCGCTCATTTACAATCTTCTAGGCATTTTTAGTATTAAGTTCAAAATATGGCTTTTACTGGTCGTTCACCTTTTTGTACTGTTCAAATCTTTAAAGTGCGAATTTTTGAAAATCCCTTTCCTCACCCAGGTGACATTCACACAAATTTTCAAAGTAGATTTATCTCTTCATAACAAAGTTGTACGATTTTGTCCTCAGTTAATGAATAAATTTATAATTTGTAGCCCTTACCATTTGAGTTCGAATTGCTATCGCCTTATAATAATTCTGTACCCTTTTCCTATCGTCTAATATAGAGTTGTGCCAATATTGCTCGATCGAGCGAAATAGTTCCTTCAGTTGACTCCGGTCATTTGTGTAAAAACTCTGGGTATGAGTGATATGAAATTACTCATACGTTTAGAAACTGATGTACTGAACTAATTATTGACACAACTTTAGTCTAAAAACAATTTAAAAAGTGATAAGTTCGGCCGGGCCGAACTTTGAATACCCTTCACCATTTGGAACGAAATCGGATTTTTTCAAAAAATAAAATCCGCCGTTATATTGCTGTCTATACGACGTGGACCTATATACGCTTTGTTTGTCGTAAGCCATTACCATATTCAAATTCGAAACTTGAAAAAAAAAAAAACGGTGAATGATGTAGATAAAATCATCAAAATACCATATATAGGGAGGTATTGTTCTATAGTAGCTATACGGAGACCTGGACCTGCATAGAAAATTTTCTGTCACAGGCTGTAGTTCCCATTACGAACTTCACATACGACATCTCAAACAATTTCGGTGAGTATTGTACCTAAACTGGTCAAAGAACCCAATATAGGGAGGTACTGATATATGGGGCCTATACGTAGACATGAACCTGCATAGACAATTTTCTGTTGGAGACTGTAGTTCCCATTACGAACTCAAAATATGTAATTTGAAACTACTCCGGTAAATAGCGACCCTAAAATCGTTAAAATGCCGAATATTGGGAGGTACCGTTATATGGGGACTATACGAAAACGTGGACCTACACAGAAATGTTGCTGTCATAGGCTGCAGTATCCATTAGAACTTCAAATACTAAATTTGAAAAAAATATCGCTAAATGTCGATTGAATCATCAAAATACCGAATATAGGGCTGTGCCGTTTTATGGGAGCTATACGAAGACGTGGACATACATAGACAATTTTCTGTCACAGACTGTAGTTCCCATTACGAACTCTAAATTCGTAATTTGAAACTACTCCGGTAAATAGTGATATTGGGAGGTACCGTTATATGGGGGCTACACGAAGACCTGGACCTGCACAGACAATTTTCTGTCTTAGGCGGTAGTATCCACTTCGAACTTCAAATACCAAATTTGAAACAATTTCGGTTAATAATGTCGCTAAAATCATCAAAATACCGAATATCGGGAGGTACCGTTATATGGGGGTACCGTTATACGCGGACCTACATGACTCATTAACGAACTTAGCCTTCTGGTAAAATAAACATGTGTGCAAAATTTTAGCTTTCTATCTCAATTCGTTCGAAATATAGCTAAATTACAACAGACAGACGGACAGATAGACAGACTGACCGACGGACAGACAGACGGGCATCGCTAAATCGTTTTAGAATTTTACGCTGATCAAGAATAAATATATCTTGTTGTGTCTGACAGGAGTATTTGGTGGAGGGTATAAAATCACCAACTCATCTAATATCTCATACCAATATTGGTCCACATACTAAAATCTAAAGCTCAACAATGAAAGTACCAAATTCAGTACCAAAATACTGTTTTTAGTAACCTTCAGACCAATTTCCGAAACATGTCAGTTGTAAATAATGACCCACTTGTGAAATTCGAGGAATTTTGTCCTTTGCTTAAAAAATACAGTTCTTAGTGGTTTTAGTACTGATTTCAAAAATCCCGCTGTATGGTCCATTTAACCGCCAACATCTACTTGCATGCCAAGTTTTCAATTTTCAAGCCCTAGCCGCTCTCATATGATGGGACGATCGGACACATATTCAAAAATTTTTTGTGAGTACATTTAATCGAAATGTTGACATTTTGTGGCAGAGATACCAAAAGGTGTTCATCGATATATCCCATATTCACATTACATATATCGTTGTTAGAAATATTGAGGTATCCAAGGTTTGAAGTAAATCACTGACTTGTTTCACATATTTTACTTTGTTTTTGTTTATTTTAAAACCAACTCATATCTCGATTAAC